CTGCGCCGCGAGCCGGTTCCCGCGCTCAGCCCCGGCCCCGAGGGAGAAGGCGACGAAGGTCGCGGCTGCAAGGACGGGCAGGGCTGGAGCAAGCGGGGACCCTCGGCGGTCCCCCTCCCTCCCTGAACGCCCCTGGGGACAGGCGCGCTGCCCGCAGCGGCAAGCGGGTGAGAACAAAAACGCTCCCCGTAACCGCATCCCAGCACCCCGCGACGACCAGGTAGACCCAAATCTCAGTCGCCTGCATGCAGCATCCTGTTAAAGCGTTTTATTTGAATTTCCGTACAGCCGTGCCGAGAAACCACGGAGCGCTCTGCCCTTCGTTTCAGGCTGCAGCGGGGGAAAACACCACTCCAGACTCTTGTTTCCAAGTGTTAACCATTTATAAATAAGTACATTTTTTTTTTCATACATACAGTTTTCATTGTACAGATTACAATCTGTATACAGTCGGGGTGGGGGGGGAAATGCATTCTTTTTGAACTTTTCACATCTATCTCACAGCTCACATGTACAGACAAGAAAACTCTGCTCAAGCAAATACAGCAAAGGAAAAAATATTTCGTCTTCTTTCCTTATACATGAGAGGCTAAGGCCTCCGCTGGATGCAGGGGTTGCTCTCCCCACTGCACAACGTCACAACTGTGTGGTGTTCGATATATCAGTAGAGAGAACAGAACATGCATTGAATAATATACTGTACAGAGAAAGTCCTTTACATCGGAATTATAGAAAAGCTAAAGGAAAATTAAGTGTCTTAAAGATCTTCCCAGCAAGTGTCTTGAAGGACGGCAACCAGGTAATAGTACAAATCACACAGTGAATACGCTGTACATGTTTGTACTAACTCGGATCCTCGCGGAGACGGAACAAGAGACAAAAACGGCGTGGTGTGACACTACGGGAAAGAAAAGGCTGGACGGCAACGACACCGGCAGGACCGGCACAGTCCACAGCAGGCTCCTAAGTCAGCGGTGTATTAACAAAACGGACTTAACGCGCGCAGTGCTGCTCTTAGCTCGCCGACGGTGCCCGGCGGTATCAGTGCACACCGAGGCAGAGACTGAAGGCAAAGCGAGCGCGTTCCCTGCGC